ATTATTTTACAAAACAGGGGTAACATAGTTATTTTTCCAGAAACTGTTGTCCCACACCTGTTTTCACACAGTTGCACCAAACAGACAGCAAGCTTCCCCGCAGCAGTTTTCTGGGGCAGCGCAGCTGCACCTGAAAAGCTGAGAAGCTGCAGTTGCGCCAAACCGAGCCTTAGTCTCATCGTCTAGGTATTGGGGATTGTTGTCGTATTGACAATATCTAAAATTAGTCGATAATACCTTATATTTACGATATTGACCGTCTATCAAGGCATCACATGAAAGTTAGCAATGCAAACCTTGATGTATTACTATGTCAATTTAATAGTCATTTGATCTCATGTATAAAAAGACCAATGAGAGGGAAGAGAATGGTCATTTTTCCTCTTTAGTTCTCCTTGATGAATGCTTTGAATACATGTCAGAAATGTGAACATTGATGAGGTTATAGTATGATCGTACTGAACATCTAGTTCAAATTCACTGTATGAAGTTCAATACCAATAATCGAGTTAAATCCCCCACGGTATATGTCTAACTTCACGTCTTCAGGTGTCACGTACATTTGATTCACGTGCTTCGCGTATAACCATCAGAACCAACTTTATGAAAAGTAAATGGGTTGTGATGCCACATGCACGAACTCTTCAACACTAGCAAAAAACTCATCAGCTAATTATTTCTTTATAGATATATTCTATTATACATCCATGATATAACGCTTCTAATATCCATCTGTACCATAGATATAGCTCTATAGATAAGTACAACATCATTTTGTCATACTGAGTGCCATATTATTCATTTAAATTCTAGCCCAATTTCACACATATATGAAACTTTAGACTATAATTTACACATCCTACCAGAAACCTTAGACCATCTACACATCATACCTGAATCCCAAAGCCCACAAATCCAAAGAATCAACCAATTAACCCATTAACACCCAAACTAACCCATCAACCCACAGACCTATTAAATTACCACACAATTATTTCACCCTTAATCCCCCTTAACCCAAACAAAAACCTTTTCCAAAAAAAAAAAAAAAAACTCAAAAATCAAGACCAGCCTGACTCCACTCTAAACTTACATAGCAAAAATTTCTTATGTATTTACATATCTCGCACTAAATTTTCATATTTACATGCAAAATACATATTTATATACATAACACTAATTTTATGTATTTACATATCTTACATCAAAATTTTCAGATTTACATACATAACACAAATTTCTTACATATTTACATTTCTCACACCTAAATTTTCATATTTATATATTTGCATACATGATGCTAATCTAATGTATTCACAAATGTCAAGCATAAACAAATAATTTACACACATTTTGGATCTTATGTAAAATCATCAGATGTAAAATTACATAGCATAAAATTCTTATGCATTTACATATCTCAAACCTAAACTTTTATATTTAAGCACATATCACTATAAAGTTATATAAAACCATGAAATCCATGTATATTGCATATCTAACAAAGGAATACGAAAAAACTTGAGCAAAACCCATATATTTTCTTTTTAGTTTCACAACATCTCTTTCGAGAAATTAGAGATCCTAAAAACTATAATACCTACATCAATAATGTGTTTGGACTGATCTTAAGGAGATCTAATGGCTTTTATAGAAAAGTATGAAGGAGGCAGACCCACTACTAGAAGATCGTGGGTCCCAGTTGACTGAATAAGCAAAGCTATATGAGCCAAACTAACTAGGCTAAAACTGTCTGAGCCACAAGGCGAATAAAAAGACTATCAGATTATCCCAACACGAGTCATCTGACCGGAGTTAATACAAGAGAGTGTCCAAGCTAACCGCGATATGAAAGTCAGCTTGATGCGATATTCTATTCCCTAATAGAGTCGATCCTATAGGATCCACTTCCACAGAGTATCTATGACTATCCTATTGAGACCCCAAAGTGTCCTCAATAGAGATTGAAGATAGTCAACCATGGTGTCTCAGCCTACCAAACTAAATTAACTAAACTCAGTCTAATGAACCGACCTTATCGCCCTGAAGTCAACTAAGCTCAGACGCCAAGCCAGAAAACAACCAAACGATAAGCCCACACTTGAAAAATATATAAAATATCCCAATACACATCATTTCCAAATAGAGTTAAAAATGTAATATCACAATTATACAACCCACTCTATAAACAGGGGAAACATATTATGAAGAATAAACACTATTGAACACTATTCATCATTGTTTATCTCTCTTTATTTCTCTTCTTATTTATGCTCTATTTATTGGATGTGATTCACGAACAATCTCAACTTCAACACGTAAGATCTCTTGCATCAAATCATTACTTCAATATAAATTTGTGTTCATTGTTGGATAATATGATGTCCTGTAAATGACTTAGATGATTTATTATTTTCCTCATCAATCTCATTCACTTGGTGCATCCATGAGGCACATCCTTTAACCTCAATATTAATTTATTGTAATTAGGCAGACAAAGTTTTGTTAAAAATGTGCCCAAAAATTCCATGCTTAGATTGAATCAAACTTAAACACAATTGATTAGATTATAACATAAACATAATTAAACTTAACACCATACATGGGTCTCATTCCTCATAGTTCATCAATTCTAATGAGGACTTTGGATCCCTACCATTTCCTTAGAATATAATTGTAGCATGCCACTCTTAGAATAAAGAAATTAAAAAAAAAAAAGAGTAATAAATAAGTTGAACTATTTTCACAAAGGATCATTCATGTTTGGAATTGTATCATATAAGGTGTTTTAAGTTAAATTTTTATCGATTCACCAAAATAAATCTCAATGTGACATTAATTTTTGTTTCAATTTTCTCATGTGAATATAATATTTTTTTCTATCAATAATGATATTTTAGGTTCATAATAAACACTTTGATAGTTTGAATATGTCCTTGAAAGTTTACATATATCCAATGTCACGAGAAAATATTACGTCCAAAAGTCTTGAATGTGTTGTCAACAGCTCTACCGAACGCACGATGTAGTGCGATACAGGTTCTCGTCCGCATATCCGGACGACGAATACAATATTTTCTTCATAGTCACACACGAGACTCCAAGTTCATCCCTGAGATAAACTCTTAAGGTATACTTCGAGTCGCTATCAAGTTATTGATCATTCTCCTAAAAATCATAATATACTTAGCTCAAACCCAGCCGATGACGATCAAAGATGAGCTGAATGACTATCAAGATCGTGTTCCCTAAAACGAAACAACTCATTTGCTTAATTTTTAAATTATGATAAAGATTTACAATAATAAATTATGATAATCTCGTGCTTTCATTGTAGTAAGTTGAATTGATATAAGAAATTGTTTTATGAAGATCTCATATGAAGTTTTGTGATACAATTTTTAGTAGGAGATTACATACATATCACTTACTTCTTTCAAGTTAATCATTTTTACTACTCTGTTAAATTTTGTTGACGGTATCATTACATGGAGGCAGAAGCTTGTGAAGGCAGGTGGAACATTAGCGTAGGAGTGGAAGCTCATGAAGGCGGGCAATGAGATTGCTTCGATGAGATAACTACATACATGGACTTCCAAAACTCCCATCTTTTGGGATCGCGACACACAAACACTCAAGCTTCACCTATGTCCCACCCGCCTTCACGAGCCCTAGTTTCTGAATTTCGATCTCCTCGTCTACCTTTAACGGGGAATGGTAGAGATGGTTGGCAAAAAAGAACTAAGTGATATGAATGTAATATTAAAGATTCAAGTATTACATACATAAATTAATAAGAACTGAATGTTATGCATGTAAATCTAGGGCTGTCAAAAAAGGTTGTATTTCGCCAATAGTTTGTGTTCGATTTTTCATTAAACAAGCCAGCCAAAACAAAATAATTTTTTTTAGCTCGATCTATATTCATTTGACTCATTTTGATTTGAAATAATTAAATGATTAAATAATATTATTTATTTATATAATTTTTATATGTATTAAAAATTGCCAAATATTATTATTTTTAAGGGAACAATTTTAGTATTATAGCCAAAAATAATATAAGTTTAGCTGTTAGAAATGTAAATGAATCGAATAGAGGGCGTTATGTATGTAAATTTCTCTAAAATACAGCACTCAGGTTCCAGTACCTTTTTCGGAATTACATATGCAAATACATAACAGTTGTGGTATATATGTAACCTTCTCTCCGTTGTTTATGTAAATACATAAAACTTGAGTGTTACATGCGTAAATGGCCCCACAAGACCTTCGGGCTAACCTCATTCTCTTTAATGTTTAGTCACACATCGTCGGTGTTGGAAGAAACTCGGCTTAGAAACTCTATTTAAAAGCTAGAAATTAATAAAAAAATATAATTTTATTCTTCCTGCTATTAAGCAGTAAGAATATTTTCAGATTTCTCTTATTTTGAGAAATAGTTAAAAATAAAAAATTCATTATTTAAGATGTCCATTTCTTTCCAAAATATTTAATAAGAACTAATTTAAACAAATTCAAATTTAAATTAAATTGAATGAGGACATGGCCATTAATAAACTATTTTGAGCTCGAGTTTATTTTAAACACAATAAATTTCAGGCAATTACAAATATATTCTGAGTTTAGTCAGTTACATTCGGACAACGGACGGAGCGGAGAAGAGAAAAAAATCACCTCCGATGTATCGTATTTGTCTCGACCCAGATTATGTCCGAATACCGAATGTAATGTTTCGTGCATGCAAATCCCCTATTCTTGGGAAATATTTGCGTACGTGTTACGCACGCAGAGCTGTGTGGGTAATAACTCCGCAATAACCATCACTTCGTGATTATTAAAGGGTTATTGAGATGTTATTGATGTATTAATTTTAATAACTTGTAACAGTAATAATTTTTTTAATCATTTTCATGAGTACTATTTAGATGTTATTTGTAAGTAATTAAGAAAATTATCCACGGACAAATATTTCCCCGGTTCTTTTGATACACCTAAAATCTCTCATTACCCGGCGTTCAACAGTCCACGGATTGTTAACTGTGCTCTCTCTCCGTCTCTCCCATTCTTGTTGGCCGATGCTGCACAGCCGAGGAGCGTGACAGGATTGACTCGGCCAGGCAAATTTCAAAAAAGACCTAACCCTCCTCTTAAAACCCAAACGGGGACTCCCGAAATCCCTTCCCTCGCTTATGCAGAGATCCCCTCTCGCGTCTTCCTCGCGCGACAATTTTTCTCTTCTCATTCCGGAGTGTGCTATATCTTATGCTCAATCCATTCCGATTGCCTTGCTCTTCCACGAAGTAAGCGTCTTCTTCTAAATTCTGGTTGCGGAATCCTTTTTTTTTTTTTTTTTTGAGTTGTTCTGCGTTCTTCTTTGGATCTAGGGTTTGTTGCACTGTTACTAATCTCGCAGCGGTGATATGGAGCCTTGATTAGGGCGCTGCGTTACTTTACTTGTTTGTGGATTCTGGCGATTTGCAATGGGGAGGGATGGGGAGTACTCCGAGGGGGCTAAGGTTTATGAGTCGAAGAAAGAGAAGAAGCGGCGACTATTGATGAACAACGACTCTGAGTCGGAGGATATCGTGATCACTCCGCGAGTGGAGATCTTTCAGGCTGGGAATGGTGTGACTAGTGGGAGGCGGAACACAGTGCCAGAGAAGGGCGGTAGTAGACAGAAGGGTTTGATGAGAGGAGATGTGGTGAAGAGGAAGTTGGGTGGTGAGGGAAGTACAGGAAATTTTGTGGAGGCGAGGTCTGATGGGAGTGTGAAGATTATTGTTGCTCAGCCTGTCGGTGAGGATCTAAGATTGGATTCTGTGGATTCTGTGAATTCTGCGGGAAAGCAAATAGATACAGCTGAGGGGATCGGCAAGAGCTTGGAACCACTGAAGCTTAGTAATAACATTACGGACAGTGCCAAGGAAAAGGTCTTGGAGTCAAAGTACTACAGGAAGAGGAGTGCGGGGACAGGTGATGATGAATTTAGCAGGAAGAGAACAAAAACAGAAAATATGGACTCAGTTGACAACCAAACTGAGAAGTCCGCAGAAGACAATAAAATTACGGGCAGCAGCAAGGGTGGTATTCAGGTTTCCAATCTGTCTGTCCCTGGAGCCAAACATACGGAAGAGGACTGCTCAAGTGAGGGAAAGTTACAGCAGAGTTCAAGAACTGAGGCAGATGCTGTTAGGCGGCCAGGACGACCTTGTAAGAGAGAATCCCGAAATGTGAAGGATGCCAGATCATCTGATGTTGCCATAAAAAAGGTGGTGAGTGATGGTGAAAGTTCACGGCACAGCTATATTAGGAGGCAGGGTAAAAGCGGTGTTTTAAGTGTTTTAAAAGGCAGTGAAAAGTTCGTTGGCTCTGAAAATGCTAATGCTGAGTTTAAGGGGCAAAAAATTGCAATGAGATTGAGATCTTCAGGCAGTAACAGATTCATTGAATCAAACCATCAGCGACAGGGAGAAGTTCACAAGAAATCAATCTCCAATGTCAAGCCGCTTAAGGGCGCAGGAAAAGTTTCTTCAGAAAATACAAGCAAATCAAATGATTCTAATGTAAATCAGGAAAATATATCTCAAAATAAAGGATCAAAGAATGCGGATTTGTTTCATGGCAATAAATCTGGCCTGGTGGCCATTAATAAGAAAAATGACAATGTGTCAGATGAAAGTCGTAGTGCAGTTAAAAATAAACTCCGGGAACAGATAAAAAGCATTCTTTTTGGTGCTGGCTGGACAATTGAGTTTAGGCCTAGGAGGGGTAGAAACTATGAAGACTCCGTCTATGTTTCACCTCGCGGTACAGGTTATTGGTCAATCACCAAAGCTTATGCCGTATACTTAAGTCAAAGTAAAAGCGCCCCTGATAACAAGGAAGATTCTGAAAAAGAAACTAAAGCTCCTGCTGGAAATGATGGTGACTCCAAAGAAAGAAATTCTACATTTGCTGTTATACCCCCAGAGGTCTTACACATGCTTAAAAGGAATGTGGTTAATAAAAGAAGGCGTAAAATGGAAATGGAAGATATTAAACATAAGGTTGGAGGCGGCAAGAGAAAAAAAAAGGCCAAGGAAAACACCAAATTAAAATACTCTAAAGATAAAAGAAATAGGGATGTTGTAGGAGGAATGAGATCCATAAAGAGGAAAGTAACAGTAAGAAATAGCAAAAGAAGGGGTTGTGCTCTTTTGGTTCGGGGCCTTAACCAAGATGAAGGATCAGAAAAAGGTGATCATGCTCCATATGTTTGGAAAAGAACAATTCTTTCATGGATGATTGATTTGGGAGTAGTACCGGCCTATGGAAAAGTGAAGTACATGAACAAGAGGATGGCAAAGCCATTGCTGGATGGACGGATTACAAGAGATGGGATTCAGTGCAGCTGCTGTAGTAAAATTTTTACTGTATCAAAGTTTGAGATTCATGCTGGCAGTAAGCTGCATAGGCCATATGAGAATATATGTATGGAGGTATCTGGTATATCTCTTTTGCAGTGCCAAATAAATGCGTGGGAAAAGCAGGAGGAGTCCACAAGTTGCATATTTTATGATGTAGACACTGAAGGGGATGATCCAAATGATGATACATGCGGCATCTGTGGAGACGGTGGTAATCTGATCTGCTGTGATAGCTGTCCTTCAACTTTCCATCTGTCCTGTTTAGGCATAGAGGTAAATTGAGATCTTTCCTTTTTTTGGCGCATTTACATACATAGCACACAATTCGAATGTATTTACATATCCTCCACCTAGACTTTCACTTTTTACACATATAACACTCAAATCTTCAATATCACATAAAAAATAACTCTATTGCCACTTTTTAAAAGTGAAATATACCTTTCCATGCATTATTTTAAAGCACCAAAGTGCTATATAAGTAAATATGAAAGCTTAGATGCGAGATATGTAAATACATGTGAATTTTGGGCTACATAACTGACACAGGCGTCTCATGCTTCTGGATCGGATGCGAGACTCTTGCAACCGAAGCGGTCTTTCGCCTGCATGATTAAAATGAACCGGTCTAGGTCTTTCTTTGCGGTGGAGTGCTGGCCGGTTCCTCGGCCCACACATAGTTATTCTATTATTATAAATTTACTTTCGTGGGAGTCTAGGGTTTGTTTTGTTATATGTTTGTTCAGGACAACCCCCAACGACTCTGTTATTCCATCTAGGGCTGTATCCAAGGTTTGAGTGGTTCTCTAGCTGCATTTCTCTCCCGAGATGGTGATCATCCTTCCCTCAACCCTACAACATCTTTCCCTCATCGCCCCCATCATCTTCTCTGTTGCAGATGGCCCAATACAGCTGCTATTGCTGTCTTTCCTGCAGTTTTCTGCCTTTCAGCCGCCAAAATTGCCTTCCCTCTCCTCACCTTGCTGTCACCACTGTTCCAACCAACCCGCATCGCTGCCACCCAAAAATCCCATTGCCTTGCTATTTTACTGCTATCCGGCCATCCTACATTGTCGCCGCCCCCCAGAAGCCCTTTTGCCTTGCCATTTTACTGCTGTCTGGCCATCCTACGTCGTCGCCGCCTCCTAGAAACCACTTGGCCTGTCTGTTTTATCGCTGCCCTGCCATCTTACCTACTTGCTGCCTCCCATGATAGCAAGCACCTGTTGTTTCCCTGCTGTCACAGCCCCTCTGCTCCTTTTCTCTCTCTCCACCACCTTTCCAGGCCCCTAAGGACCCTCAACATAACCCTAGATTCACCCTAGAAGCGCATCATGTGTCGTGTTTGTTGTTACTTCTTATTTCCGTTTATTTGGTTGTAATTCCATATTTGAATTCAGCAATAATTGATTTTTTCTATTATTATTTGGTTAACTCCGGCATCAGTATGTATATTGTCCCCCTTTTTTTTTGGGCTTTATGATTCAAAGTAGAAAGTCCTCATTTTGGACCCCCGATGCATATGGGGATTTCATGCTGGACAATTTCCATGGCTCATGTCACTAGTCCTTTGCTTTAGCTTTTGCATTACATGGACACTGCTGAGGTGCTCTAGACTGAACCAAGCTCTTTTAGGTTTTGTTACTTTTGTTCCTCTCCTGTCTCACTTGATCTCTTGTTTTGTTATGGTACTCTCCATTGGTAGACTTATTGCTTTCATGGTGGTTGTGTCTGGATTTGGTCATGTTCTATCCAAATTATTGGTGTACCTGTGTTGATTTTTTTTTTCTATCTTTTTATTATCTGGCCTTTTTCACTTCAAGGGTTTTTTTTTTTTTTACCACAGATGCTCCCCACCGGAGATTGGCACTGTGCCAATTGTTCTTGCAAATTTTGTGGTGCGGTGCATGATTCTGTATCTCAAGTTGAGGATGCATCTAATGTTTTATTTACTTGCTCACAATGTGCACGAAAATGTAAGTGTTTCTGCAGCCCTGACCAGAATAGTACTATTTGTTACATTATTTCATTAGTAGTTTACAAGTCACCCGTGACACTTTTTTGGCTGCTAATTTTATGTAGTTCACAAGGATTGTGTTCCAGAGGACGACGCCCTAACGCTCTTTCTACTGCTCCCAAAAGCTCCGGCAATGTGTTTTGTGGGCGAAATTGTAGAAAGGTAACACTATCATCTTTAGACTTTTGAGGAATCCAAAACTTTATTTTCACGTCAGTGGGATTTGGTTTCATGTCTCGTTATTCGTTACAAACTCATTCACTTTAGATTCTTTACTTCGTGTGTTTTTCCTGTAAACAAATTCATGGTAGGGTAAGATATACGAAGTTTGAGCCCTTGCTCAATTTTGCATCTATCACCTATTTTCTAATAGATTGAGTCTTAGATTCGCTTTTTAACTTTTAATAGATTAAGCTTTGGTCTGTTTGTTGACTTTGATAAGATTTTGACTATCACACTTCTTACATTCATTGCTTTCATCTCATGTATGCATCTTGGTAAGGAGTTAATTTTATTGTGATGTTTTTTCAGGTAGATTTAGTCCACCTCAGACTTTAAATTGAAGAATGAGTCTTACCATACTATCGTTTCTGTAGGTGTTCAGGAAGTTGCAGAAGCTTACTGGTGTCAGGAATGAGTTGGAGGCAGGATTTTACTGGAGCATGGTTAGGCGGTTTGAAGACCCTTCCAAACCTCTATCTAGAATGGCTCAAGCAGTAGAAAGCAACTCTAAGATTGCTGTTGCCTACGCTGTTATGGATGAGTGCTTTGTACCTATAACTGATCAGAGAAGTGGTATTAATCTGATTCACAATGTTGTGTATAACTGCGGGTAAGCATTTGTTCTTGTTTCATTTTGCCTCCAAACATTATTACTCTTCTGCAAAATATATACTGAAACTTATAGGAATTTTGATGTACATACTATTTTATCATCTTATATTAAACCTGTATGTTCTTCTATTCTTATTCACACAAGTATCTCTGGCACTTTGTCGTTGCAAAAGAAAACTGTTTATGCCTAAATTTGTTCTACCTTTCTTTTTGCCTACTGCAGTCTGTATTATGCCCTATTTGAGCTAATTAATTTTGGGGACTGGTACCGGAACTGGTTAGGAATGTAGGACGATGTCAGAAGGCGGTGGTGGCGTCGACCGGGTGGTAGGGTGAGATGGGAGATGTCGGGGTTTGTTTGGGTTGTTGTGATGCTGTTTGGTTGGTTGTGGGTGGGTAGGACAACAAGTGGTGGAGGTGTAGGTTGGTGGGCAGCTAGGAGAGAGGTAAGAAAAGCAATTGGTGGGAAGAAGCAACCAGAATTGGAAGTTTGGAACACCACCTTGGAGCAAGATACAGCCGAAGCACCCTCTATCGTCGGATATAACCCTAACAAGTGGGAAAATACTCCACACAAATTAGAAGGCAACTCTATTAGAACTGCCTCCTGCACACAGGGGACATCTATTTATAGTCATCTACCTTTACACAAAAGGAAAGGGTTGGAAAAGACAAGAATCTAGAAAAAAAAAACACTTAGAAGAAGTCATGCGCGTGATCGCGGGCTCTCACAATGTATCGCGGTTCTGGACCGCAGGATCGCGGCTCGCGCTCTTTCCCGAGGAATTGCGAGCTCCCGCTTCGGGGCGCATACAACCCCCACGTTAGTCTCCTGAGGTTAGGGAAACTTTGACCTCGTTTGTCAAAGCTCTAGGCTCTTTAGAGTATGGTGTTAAGTCGGTGACGTTGAACGTAGCTGAAATGTTGTAGTCTCTAGGCAAGTTGATCTTATAAGCGTTGTCGTTCAGCTTCTGAAGTACTCTAAAGGGTCTGTTTTCTCTCGACTTAAGCTTCCCAAACTATCATGCTGGAAATCTCTCCTTTTTCAACCGGGTTTATACGAGGTCACCTTTCTGAAATGTTACTTCATTCATGGATTTATTTGTCTGTGCGTGGTATTTTTGATTATGCTTAGCAATTTCCTTACCAACTTGTTCGTGAGGTTTCTGAATCTCCTGAACTCATTCTGTGGCATCCTTGCTGATTTATGAACATGGTAGGAGTGGCACCAATTCAAGTGGCGTTAGTGGATGCACTCGTACAAAACCTCAAAGGGAGTTCTCGCTGTAGTTTGGTTGATAGATCGGTTATAGGCGAACTCAACTTGGGATAGGATGAGATCCAACCGTTTTATGTTTTTTTCCACGAAATGCCTTAGAAGATTACCTAGGCTCTGGTTGATTAACTTTGTTTGTTTGTCTGTTTGTGGATGTGCTGTCGAGCTGAATCGGAGTTTAGTGCCGAGCTTTTCCCGTAATGTCCTCCAAAAATGGCTCAGGAATTTAACGTCTGTCGGAGGTGATGGTCTTGGGAATCCCATGCAGCCTTACAATCTCCTTGAAGTATAAATCGACGATATGAGAGACGTCTAGTGTCCAGTGACAACGTACAATTTGTCTACTACAACCATTATAGAATCCTTGTTCCTTTGAGTCCTTGGAAGTTCTAGGACGAAATCCATGCTGATGTCCACCCACGGTGCCTCTGGTACTGGAAGTGGTGTGCATGATTTGTCATTCTGAGCTTTTGTCTTTGCTAGATGACAAATTCTGCATTGCTTGACATGTCGTTCTACTTCTCTTGTTAGCTATGGTAAAAAATAAAAAAAAATCTCTCTTACAATGGTGAGGGTTTTGTCCATGCCGAAATGACCTGCTCGTCCTCCACTGTGGTCTTCCTTGACAACGACCCCTCTTAGTGAATACCTTGGGATGCACAACTGACTCTGGTGGAACAAGTATCCATTTGTGCAATAATATTGCCCTCCTGTTTCTCCTAATATTGCTCCCGTACGTTTTTAAAATCTTCTTCTATTTCATATAAAACCTTTATGACCTCGAAGCCCACAACTCGAGCCTTCATGGATGTGATCAATAGGTGTCGACGACTTAGTGCATATTTAATGCGGTTTTTTGGCTCCATGCTTTGTGTTTTCTCACAAACTGGAAATTCCACCTAGGTGGCGTGTTATCCCATTAGTTTATTCTGGATGTTAAGGAATTTTAGGGTCTCGTGATTTGTAAATATTGTAAACTCATTTTTAATAGGTAATAATTCTAGTGTTCCAGAGCTCTTACGATGACGTAGAATTTATTGTCGTAGGTTGAGTATTTTCTCTTGGACTCGTTCAACTTCTTACTGAAGAAAGCGACGGGGTGTCCTCCTTGGCTTAGTACTGCTCTGATCCCTATGCCGGAGGTGTCACATTTCACCTCGAAAAGTTGGTTGAAGTCGGTAATGCTAGCACAGGTGCCTGAGTCACCTTTTCTTTCAATGTGTCAAAACTGTCATGGGCTTCTCTTGTTTCTTATTTTATATGCATGATTTTAACATTTATATCAATAAAATTTACTTTGATTATTCATTATATTATAGGTCAAATTTCAATCGTCTGAACTTCAGCAGCTTTAATACTTTTATTTTGGAGCGAGGTGATGAAATTGTTGCTGCTGCATCTGTCAGGTAAAATTTTTCCTATCTTGCTTGATTGAATGACTGTATTTTACATTGTTTTTGAGTTATCACATTTCTTTTGGAGATTAATAGCTTAATGAAATCTACTGCTCATTAAGCTAAATTATTTACTTCAATTTTGTGATTTTAGAGTGATAAAATGCTAGTCAGAGCCAAGGCTGCTTCAATCATTGGAATTTGGATCATTTAACAGTAATTAAAAGAATCTTTGCGCTTTTTTGTGAAAGTTTGTCTGGTGGGAATGAATGATAGGATTTGTTATTTCTCTAATCTATGTTTCAGAGTGCATCCGTACATAATAGGCGTTTATTCATTTATTGAATATCCTATTATTTCAAGTTGCTAAACTGTCAAAATATCTTTAACTTATTATTTTTTTTACTTTTTCAGGATATACGATACGAGCTTAGCGGAAATGCCTTTCATTGGCACAAGATCTATCTATAGACGTCAAGGGATGTGTCGAAGACTTCTTCATGGAATTGAATCTGTATGTTCTCTTTGTTCTTCATGATCATAGTTACCCTTCTTAGCATGTCAACCAATTCACTTGTGCTCTTTAATATTTTAGTTTTTGCTAGGTCCCTCTTCAATCCAAAGGTAATACACTTTTTTTCATTTCATACAATACATGCAAATGAAGAATACTAATCTTGTTGACATTTAAATTGATTTAGGGACTGTTTAGGTTGCTGAAAAATGGGTGCAAAGTAAAAGAAGTGTAGGATTTTTAAAAATTAGCTATTTGGTTTGGTTATAAGTGAATGTATAGTAAAAATTTGAAGTATTTGGAATTTACAATTTAGTTTGTTTTTAATGTATTTGTGATTTTCATAATTTTGGTTCAATTTCAAATACACCGCAAGAGTGAAGCTTGCTTGCTACTGTCACCGCCACTAGCCACATCCTCTGCCTCTGTCATCGTTGCCATAATTGGTCACTACCATTGCTTGTAGTCACTCATAGCCGCTGTCACCGGCAGCCTACCGACATCACTGTTGTCACTTGTTTTGTTAGTCGCCTTCGCCGACCACCATCGTCAATCTTGACATTAAATTCATTCTATTTGAAATCAAGCAAAAAAAGTGACCTTTGCATTTGCTATACACTTAATAAAGTAACTCCATAAATTTCAACTACACTGCTACACTATATTTCCTTTTTTCTTCGCATTCCATCTTCAGTAAACAAACAAGCCTTAAGAAAGTATCTCCCATCCTCTGGTTGCCGAAAGTTATGCCCTCACTTGATGTTCTACACAGATGTATTCACTTTATTGGTTTTTTTTAGTTTTATTTTAATGAATCCAGATTTTTCTCGGCTTTACTGTTGCGTTATAGGTCAGCTTATGCCTGAGAAGTTCAAATTTATTTTTGAGTTACATAATTGAGAATGATTGGTAACACTTTTGGACTTGAGTTCAAGTGTTTGCTTGGTAGAAGGTGCATGAAAAGACTTTTATATTTGGAACTCGCTGACATTGTTCTATTGTTCCTAGGAGTTGAAAAGGTAGATCTAATAGGGAGGTAGTTGTGGAATAGCAAATAAATGATATTAAGCGAGGTTTACGGAGTTTGGAAGGGGACATGAGGCGTTAGAGAGTTGTCCGGGCTGAAAACAACAAAGAGAGAACCACAAAATACCAACTTTGACGATGCTTGATTTCCGAGGGAGGTCTATCATATGTTACCTAACAAGCTACAAACACACCACTTGTAAAAAGAAGATGAGACAACATTCTATAGAGCATAAAATCAAAAAATAAAATCTCAAAATACACAAAACCATACCAAAAGTCTCCAAACTAAGAAATAATAACCTATAAATAGTTATCATGCAAAATTAGACCTATGTCTATCTAAAATAATATTAAATAGGAGTCAACAACTCGACATCATACTAGTAGGCAGTAAAATTTCATTGTGCAAAAAAATTATAGGATAGAGCCCTTCTTGCTCCAGTCTGTCACGTCACTCTCTACGAGTTGGAGAGATTTTGCCCTCTTTTTTGGAAGCGTTTGAATCCTCGTAATACAACAAGTTAATGATGTTAAATGTAGCATAAATATTGTAGTCATCCGATAGGCCAATTTTATATGCATTGTCGTTAATACTCTTAACAATTCTGAAATGTCCATTAGCTCTAGCTTTGAGCTTTCTAAATAAATCTACAGTACTATGCTAATTCTTCTGTCTAAGTTATACCAAGTCACCGTCCTTGAAAGTCATGAATTTTTTTGGTTTATTAGCCTGCTTCTATACTAGACATTCTTGTACTCGATATTAATAATTGTCATTTTATTTCAGTTATTACCGTAAGAACGAGCTAACACCATGGGTACTAGTGCATTGAAAAAGTTGATATTCTTTACAAGACAATTTAAAGCTTAAAACTTCATTTGACATTTTTTTTCATAAAAAATGGTGCATTTGGTAAGAAAATAATCAAACTATAGTGTTTGCAAATCACATTAATAAGGCATGCTACTAAAAGTAAAAAAAAATAGCACTTGTTTGCTATTTATGCCATAGTAGATTAAATATTTATTAAACTAGATGAGCTATTGAGAAATTAGATGGGTTGGGAAATTAGTTTTCTGAGTCTTTTTGGCTCTTGAATTTTTTGGGCCCTTCCAATTCTCAGAGTTCTAAGAATTTTTAAAGATTTTTCATAGACATTATTTAGTATAAGATATAGTAATGTTTCCTAATATAAATTCATGATGAGATGCATTAAAATTGCATTGATTGTCAAATTTATAGGAACCAGAAATATAAGTACTCTCACAGATAAATTAATGAAATTTGTAGATATTATGATTCATAGAAAGATAAATATAAAACCAATGCATTTAAGAAACTGATTCAGTTGGAGAAAAGACTGAGAAGATTGATAGCTTAGGTTTTAAACTTTAGTATTTAGGTAGGAGTCACACTAGAAATGTTGTATGTGTAATTATAAATAAGTGTTTGAAAAATAATGTTGTAAAAATTAATAGAATTGAAGTTATAATTTTTTAATGTTGTAAGTGCTTATGCTTCTCAATATATTTTCAAAAATAAATTTTGGAATTACGTAGAAGAGTTAATGCAATTGATACCTCTTAAAGAAAGAATTTTTATTTGAAGAGATTTAAATGGACTTGTTGATAAAGTCATAGAAAATTTTAGAAATATTCTTGTTGGCTATGTTTTTAGGGTGATTATTGAAAAATGTAGGACCATATCAGATTTTTTTAGCTTATAACTTTATTATTGCTAATACTTTATTTAAAAAAAGAGGAGTATATTATTACTTATAGGAATTGATCTAACAAAACACAATTGATTTTTTTTTTATGGAAAAAGATATCGTCGATAATGTAAAGATTATAAGATTATTCCAAATAAAAATTTAAGTACTCAATATTGATTATTAGTTTTAAATTTTAAGATGAGAAGTTGTACAATGAATAATACCGTAAAACATTATCATAGAATTAGATAAGGTCATCTAAAAGATAAATAAAATTAGTTTTATAAATGAACTTCAAGATTTGATATTTTCATGAAAAAGTTAATTTTATGTGGGATAAAGTAATGAACACTATCAAACAATGAGAAAAGATGTATTTGAAGTATAAAAAAATAAAAAAAATTATAAATAAAAATAGTTGGTGGTGTAAAAATGCTATGCAAGAAAATATAAAATATAAAAAGTTTATAAAGTCGCCAAATAAAGAGAAAAGAAAAGTATGTATTTGATTCAAGTGTATTAAATATGAAAATATGAAAATTATTTTCTTAAAGGAAGATATTCAACATAGTTGGGTGAGCTATTTCGATAAACTTTTCAATTAAGTTTTTGAAAATATGATTGACCTTAGTGGTCTTAATTTAATATATATTTATATATATATTATTTTTACTATCTCATTAGTAAAAATGAAGTTGAGGAGATTTTAAAGAAAACTAGTGGTAGAAAATGATATCCCAATTAAAGTGTAAATATATTTAAGAGATTCGAGAATTTCTTGGCTTACATAACTCGTCAATATTATTTCAAAAACTTAAAAGATGCTTGAAGAGTGAAGCTTGAGTATTTTGGTCCCATTTTTAAGAATAAAAGTGATGCATTAGAGTGTTCAAATTATAGAGGATTTAAGTTAATGTGTCATACTTTAAAATTATTGGAGAGGGTAATTGAACATAGATTAAAACGTGATAGAAATATTCTCATAATCAAATTGGATTCATGTTGGGCCAGTCTACTTTGAAATCTTTAAATTTATTGAGAGGTTTAATTGAGAAGTATAGAGAGTAAGGAATATCTACATATGATTTTTATTGATTCAGGAAAAGCTTACGATAAGGTTCCAAAAGAAGTCATTTTGGGAGTTTTAGGAAAGAACGATGTTGATATGACTTATATACAACTCATTAAACATATGTATGCTAGAGCTTTTACTTATGTTCGAACAGAAGGAGGGTTGACCAAGTATTTTCCTATTTCAATTGGATTACATCAGGGATCAAATTAAAGCCCATATCCTTTCGCTTTAGTTGTGAATGCTCTTACTGGACAGTTACAGTAGGATGTGCCTTGGTGTATGCTTTTGTCTAATGATATTCTTCTTGTGGATAAAACTAGAGAAAGAGTTCAGGAAATACTTAAATTATAAAGGTCTATATTGGAGTCTAAAGGCCTTCGTTTGATTAGATCTAAAACTAAGTACATGGAATGTAATTTTAGTAGTTGTGACTCTAGTGACAGAGTTGTAATTATGGGTGATCAAATCATTTAAGGGTGTGAACGTTTTAGATATCTTGGATCTATTATTCAAAGTGATGGTGATACAGATGAGGATGCTATTAGCAACATTTAAGTTGGTTGGTTAAGGTGGGAGAATTTGTCAGTCCTATTGTCTAACAGAAAAGTTTCGCTTAGACTTGAAAGAAAAATTGTATAAGATGGTGGCGAGTCTTGCAATGATTTATGGCTCAGAATGTTGACTTTTAAAAGAGAAGCAAAAAGAGAAGCATAAAATAAAGTTAAGTGTTGCTGCGATGAGAATGCTTAGGTGGATGAGTGACTTGACACTAAGAGACAAAATGTGAAACAAATTTATCTGTGAAAGGGTTGGTGTAGCTCCAGTGACAAACATAATTAGAGAGAGATGTCTTAGGTGGTTTGGTCACATTAAATATCGATCATCTGATGATTCGATTAGTAGAGTAGTTATTTTAGATGCGAATTTATTAATAATGATGAGTATAGTTAAGTCATCTTGTATTAGGTCTATTTTACAATAAGTACTTTTCATCTTAATGAATTACCCCTAATTTTCATTATAAAATTTAAGAATAGCTAATATTGACCTGCTTAATGAGAAATGACTTGAGGGGAAGATTGTGAGCGGGTTAGAAATTGAAGAGGGGGAGAGGAAGCGATGAGTCTGACAACCGTAGAGGGGGAGATGAAGCAAGAGAGTCAGGAAGCCAATGAGATGAATTTCACCTTATATATTGTCAAAATTGACTTATGTGAAAGTCGAGCTGCTCTGTTGGAGGAAAGCAACTCTTTTGCACTATCGATCGAGGTGAGGGAAGTCAACGCTGGTAATCGAAGCCGAAGGAAGTGACATTCTCGAGTATTTCGGCTTCATCGAGCAGGAAGAAGGTCGAGCGAGGCGGTTGAGGAAGGGGGCGCATGCATGATAGCCAAAGAATTGGCTGCATGGGTTTGGAGTTTGATCGAAGGAAGGCAACGTGCATGGCAAATTCCGCTTGCAAAAGAAGAAGAGGCTCCCCCATGCATAGAAGAAGGGTTTGCTTGTGTGGATTAGGGCGGAAGGATAAATGCTTAGGGGCGGAAGGGTTTGCATGGTGGGTTGGCGGCTGATGGAAGATAACTGCGACTTAGATGTGGAAGGATGGAAGGGCTACCACTGGGAAGGCTGCAGTTGCTGGAAGAGGCCTCGATGGTGGTTGACAACTGTAGGAGAGGGACTGCGATTGTTGGAAGGTGCTTGGAAGGTGGTTAACGGCTCGATGAGAGCGGCTGCAATTGCTGGAAGAGGGTTGTGGGCTAGTTGGCTGCAGCAAACAGTGTCCTTGAAGGGTTGGACAACAGCTGGAACATGTGTCCGCTGCTGGGAAGCAGTAGGAGGTAGTCTTGACAGCGGCCGGAAGGCTGGGCAGCACCCGAAAGTGGGATGATGTTGGCTTGACAGCATCTGGAAAGGGGTTGGTGTGGTTTGGGCAGCAGCCGGAAGGTGGTTTGCGGCTGCTGGAAACTGGGCTAGAGGGGTTGCGGAAGGATAAATGTCGTCAGGGTTGAGCTATAGCCGAAACACCACCTAAACCCTTGGAGATAGTCACCACCTCAGACGAGTTACAACCGGAGCACATTCTCTCTGGTATAGCCCTCGAAGGGGAAGAACACAAATAAAGGAGGGGTGGTGGGAAAGGAAGGAATTTGAAATTAGGATAGAAGTGGAAGGTGGTAGAAAAGGTAGGCAATGAATAGGGAGGGAATGGGTGGGAATCTAAAAAGGAAAGAAGGACAATAAGAAAGAAATATTTCCATGGTTACTATAGCAGCTACAATGCCTTGGGCGGAAATTTTTAAAGGTTTTTTTGGAAGTGCATTAGCTTGGCAGCTCCACGCTCTTGTTAAGCTCCTTTTATTGAATTTAAAAACATTGGTTGGCGAGTATTAATGAATACCTTATTGTATAATTATGGCTATTTATTAATAAGTTGAATTTGTTTTGACATTTCCCTCTACCTGGTTCTGATGGACAAGATGAAGATCACCAGTCTTGATTATGTTGTGAATGACAATTTCCAAACTACTCGAGAAAGGAAATGAATATGAAAAACAGAGTTTGAAATTTGATTTAACAGGAAACTTGCATATGCACACATTTGTCGTTTCCATACCTACATTTTATGCTTTGTGATATCTGAATTATGTAATGGTGAACAAATTATTGCAACTTTTTAAAATATCTTACTGTGCAATATCTCTAAAATTTAAACTTTTGAGATTCATAATTTTCCTGTTTTATTTTCAGGCGCTACGTACCCTTTGTATTAAAAAATTGATTATTCCTGCGATATCCGAGCTAACTGACACGTGGACTACTGTTTTCGGATTTGAGCCACTTGGGGTTTCTCAAAGCCAAGAATTAAAGTCTGTAAACATTTTGGTTTTCCCTGGCACTGGTTTGCTTCAAAAGTCTTTGCTAAATGACTCAACAAAGAAGCATTCAATTCTCGAGTCCGGTAAGCAGAGAACTTAGTTTTTTTTGGGGCATTTACATACATAACACACAATTCTAATTTACTTGCATATCTCAGATCTAAACTTTTATATTTACACAGATTGCACTCAAATCTTTGATATCACATTAAAATTAGCACTATTACCACTTTTTAATGGTGGAATATACCTTTTTCATACGCAGGTTTAAAGCAATAAAGTGCTATGCATGCAAATATGAAAGTTTTGGTGTCAGATATGTAAATACATAAGAATTGTGTGCTACTTATTTAAATTTCCCCTTTTTCTAAGCTTGTCTTTAGCTTGCTACTTGATAAGTACTCTTGTATTTTTAAGTCACTTGTTTTTTCGTGTTCCAGAAAACAAATCTGAAACCCAGATCTCTTTTGAGGCAGGCATGAACTGTTCACCTGAAGAGCCCATGGATAGCAAAGCATCAAAATGCAATACAGAACCCATAGAACCCAACGTACCTGTTTTAGATCACTCTAATTCTAATTTCATAGCAGAAGAATCTGGTTGTCATGCTCAGTTTTGCAGATCTTCTGATAGTGCCGCAAATGCTGAATCTAATAACCTAAACGCAGATTCCTGTGAAAACCCTTTAGAAAAAGATACATCTCTAAGAAATTTTTCAAGTGAGTCAGTTCCATGTAATGAAGAACCTAAGAAAGAGCCTGAACCTGTGATGATTGCTCTACCTTGCTTTCCACACCCTGTTTCTGAGTTTCTACATGGAACTTCTGGAACTGAGTCGACTGTTCCAGATGTATTTGAAAACTGTAATTCTGATAAAGATCGGATGAAGCTCGAAGATAAACCTCCTAGCAATGGAATACCACATGATCCTAATCCCAAAAAATGTGAATTTATTGAAGCTGATGAAGATAGGACACATAAATCTAATGAAGTGAAAGTTAGGCCTGATACCAATGGACTAAATTCGAATGTAAATCAAGATAGCATTGACACATCGATTGATGTTGTGAGACATTCAAATGTTTCTTCTGAGGAGGACATTCATATATCTTCCTCAGTTTGTGAAAATGGATCAGGGGCTAATCCTAAACCTTACAGTGTAGCTCCCAGTGAGAGATCTTCTCAGGGAAAGTCTCAGTTTCTTCAGCCAGCAGTTAGTGATTCTGCCAAAGGCCTTGTTGGCACCAATTCTACAACTGATGATTTGTTGAGCAAACCAGAAGCATCAAATCCAGGTATAAATCTGCAATTTCAAGCTAATATTTAAGTTTGTAATTGTTGCCATGATAATTTATGTGATGTTAGTATTGCAGAAAAAAATTTAGGTTAATCAAGCATCCAAGATGGTGAAGTATCTCTAGATGTCTTGAATTTTGTAGAGGCTCGTTAAAGTTGTTTTAAATAGGTAAATTCCAAACATGTTACTCCTTTACATCTTAAGGAGATCAATATGAAATATTTCAATGATATCAAATTGGAAAGTTTGTTTCTTTTGATGAGCTTGATCATTAATTAGAAATTTTGCCCGACTTGAAATTGATCTGGATCTGGTTTTCATTCATTCTGCCAACTCATGAAATTTCGCAGTGATAGATAGATATGTATATTCTCAATTGGTGGAGCTTCGAGGCATCGAGCAGGCTTTTATGGAACTTGAGCTGAATGCATCAATCGGTACGGATACCGTCCACATTTCTAGTTTGCTTTCACTTTATGTGCGAGTTTTTTTTGCTCTTAATTGATTGTAGAGTTAAGAATATTAACAATTACCAGAATTCTTACAAGGATCATTTGAAAATCCTTGGTTTTGACTAATATGAATTTGCTTGACTATGCCAAATATGAATTATTATTGAAGAGTGTAATTTGTGTTGTCATATCATGCTAAGTGTTTTGTAGCTGTAATTGGGAAGCTAATTTTTTTTTGATTTGGGAAGATAATTTTAGTCCAATACAAAAATTAACTTAAGCTGATTTGTCGGTGCCAGGCCATAGTTCTCCTGCAAAATTACCTTCAGAGATGTTAATAATGCCCAATAGTATATCTATTAATTTTGATTTACGTGATTAATGATATTTTTCACATTCTTAGCTAAATTTTAATTATAAGATATTTGTGGAATTAAGATTTTATTTTTTGGTCATTCTTTAAAATAATGGTTAGCCCTAGGAAGTGATGGTCTATGTCACTTGGGGTGCAATCTTTCGGCCAACTGTGCTATGCTCTCTGATATTTCTTTCGGAAATACTTGAAGCTCTAAATTTCCTTTAATTTTTTTCCCTTTGAATCAATAGCGAGCTGAACAAGCTCGAGTCGGAATTTTGAGCGTGGGTATCTAGTTCAAATCTATTGAGTTAATTTTGAATCTATATTGGCTCACTCGGGATCTAAATGGGTTGAACATGAAATTATTGTATATTGAAAGAGTTAGGGCCCGTTTGGGGCAGAGTGTTTGAATACTGCGTTTGTCCAGCGTTTTGGAACCGCACCCAAATGACGTTCGCTATTTTGTTAAGAGACGGGGACGCGGGATCGCCCCGGCGTCCCGCGTCTCCATTCTCGCGTATTCCTATCGTGCCCTTCTCATATCTCGCTCGCCCTCGCCCTCGCCCTCGCCTCTCTTGATCGATCGTATCCTTCGTCTCTCTCTATCGCGTCTCTCGACATCCTCGCAGACAGCCACAACTTCTGCTTCCTGTTCGAAATCCTCGCAGACTCAGTAGCTCCCGGCTTCAGCTATTTCTTTTACCTCGAAATTCTCCGTGTCCGACGATGCGATGCCGTGCTTTGAGTGGTTGTGGCGGCGAATCGAAACTTCGAAACTTGCGGCGGCGGTGGCGAATCGAAACTTTGAAATTTCAAAATTCTCCATGTCAATATGAGAAGAACCCATAGCGACAATTTCTTTTTCATTTATAATGATTTTTTGAGGATATTTCTCACTACCGTGCATGTCTTGCTAACCTAGACATCATTGAGAATTTTAAGGGTGATCCTTGCTTCGACATTCAACTTTGAATACCACTCAATTCTTTTGAACTTACATTTCTAACACCTAAATTTTGTTTTTCACATTCTTACTACCCAAATCTTGCACATCACATAAAAAATGCCACCGTTTAACTTTTAAAAAATAAAATACACCTTTTCAAGCATAAGGCGATATACATATCTAACACATTTTCATATTGAGTGTCATATTTTCATTTAATTATAATAAATTAAGATCATTTTTTATACAACATGCCTAGGTCTTTTTAGGTCTACCTCTACTTTTGTTAACATAAGTTAAATTTTAATAGGAAACTTACAAAATCGAGGACTACATGTGATGAATAGTGTGAGTACTCTATATTTTCTTTTTGAACTAATCTGTAATGATTTGTGAGTTCTGTTTTATTTATTTTTGTACTCATAAAGTTCTGTTGCAAACAGTTTAACCAAACATTGGTAGAATAGTCATTTATCAAACAACAACTGCCAATAAGCTGTTTTAAACAGCAAGCCAGCTTATTTTGATAATCTGCAGATTATTAGAATAATCTACCTATCAAATAATCAACTGGTGCTCTAAACAGACCCTTAATCTTATTTAATAGAAATGAATTCTTCTCCATTTGGTTAGTTCATGTAGTTTAGGTTCAAGGTTTGCCTTCAATCTTTCATTTTTCTTAGTTGTGTTGAGTCGAAATTAAATTCAAGTTAGCTCTAAATTGTGTTTTCTCGATCCGAGCTGAATCGAGTCGGCTTTGAGTGGAAATTAAAACCAATTTGGCTTGAATAAATTTAATAATTTTGAGTTTGACAACAACCACAACAAACATTTACCCCACTGAGTGTGGTCAGTTATATGAATCCTTTTTCTTTATTGCGTCTTATTGAGTGTCATATTTTCATTTATTTATAACAAATTACGATTGTATTTTATACAATATGGCCAAGTCTTTCTAGGTTCAATTCAGTCTTTCTTAACATAAGTTGAATCTAAAACATTTACTCTCCTAATTGGATCATTAGATGGTCAAAGTTTAATTTGAACAAACCATCTAAGACAAATCTCTCTAATTTTATCTGCCACTGGAGCTACACTAACTCTATCATAGATATATTCATTTCACATTTTGTCTCTAAGTGTCAAGCCACTCATCCACCCAAGCATTCTCATCTCGACAACACTTAACTTTGTTTTATATTTCTATTTAAAGGACAACATTCTGTTTCATAGAGTATTGCAGGTTTCACCACCATCTTATAAAATTTTCCTTCCAGTCTAAGCGGTATTTTTCTATCACATTCTATCACACAATAGGCCCCAATAGGCCCGATGCATTCCTCTACATCAACCAACCAACTTGAATTCTACTAATAACATCCCCATTTATATCCCTATCACTTTGAACCATAGACCCGAGATATCTATATCGCACCCTTTAATGATTTAATCACCCATAATTACAACTTTGCCACACAACTTTGCCACTAGACTTTGCCACTAGAACTACTACTAAAATTACAATCCATGTATTCAGTTTTAGTTCTACTTAGATGAAGGCCTTTAGTCTTCAATGTAAACCTCAATAAATAAAGTGTTTCCTGAACTCTTTCTTTGGTCTTATCCCCAAGAAGGATGTCATCAACGAAAAGCATACACCAAGCTACATCCTTCTGTAAATGTCCAGTAAAAGCATCCATAACTAAAGCAAAAATTATATAGGCTTAAAGCCGATCCCTAATGTAATTCAACTAAAAGAGGAAAATATTGGTTCGGTCCTCATTATGTTTGAACAAAAGTACTTGCTCTAGTATACATATCGTTAATGACTTGAATATAAGTCATAACAACACCTTTCTTCTCTAGAACTTTCCAAAGGATTTCTATTGGAACCTTATGGTAAGCTTTTTCTAAATTAATAAAAATCATATGTTGATCGTCCATCAAAGCTCTCAATAAATGTAAAGCATCTACGACAGACCCGCCAGACATAAATCCTGTAATAACCACTTAAAAGAAAAATTAATAGAAAAAATTTAAAAGAAAAAAAATGGTGGCTAGAATTCAATCAATCATCACGATTGTCCTGGTTGTCTTTAAGCGATCATCCGTAACAGATAGAGAGAGAAAGAGAGTAGAAAGGGAGGAAGAGGAGAGAGAGAAATCAAACGGAAGAAGGAAGTAGTTATTGAAGTAGACGCTACAGATTTCTTTGTGTGCAAAGGTAGACATTGAAGCCACGGGAGGAAGCAACATACTCATCAGTGCGGGTTATTCCGATCCCTTGCCAATGAAAATCTAGAAGCAAGGAGGAAGAGGTGATGTACGGCTTATAAGCGATCTATTCCTTTCTTTCCCTCGAGCGTACGAGAATGATAAGGCCTCTAAAGGTTTTGTAGACTGTCGCGGGTAGCAAGCTGGAGGAAGAGAAGCTTTGTGTACAAGTGCTCGACCGTGCCCTAGCCAACTACTAAGAAAGAGAGGAGGAAAAAGGAGGAGAAGAGGGATGACATCAGTGTATGGCGACGACGTCACTATCGAGCATAGAGGAGTCGGTGTGGGTGTCGTGTAGAGGACAAGGAAGCAGAAGGAAGAAAATTTCCCGTGCAGTGTTGGGTCAAGTCGAGATTGAACGAGGAGGTGGTGTCGAGGACTTACAGTTTTTATTTGGGTTGCAATCAAAGGAATAAGGATCAAAGCAGTGGAAGGGGTAACGACTGTGTGGCTTTGCATGAGTTAGATCGAACAATGGTAAAGTTTAATAAACTTTAATTTATGAATTTAATATATTATTAATTATTAGTTATTAATTTTAAGGTTTATATAAATCAACATTCAAGCTATAAAAGTTCGAATTTTGGATCGAGAAAAGGGTGACGACAATAAAGACAGGTTAAGTTGAGTTAAGGTTTTAGCATGTTACTTATGAGCTTAATATATATGTCTGAATATTATAATATTAATAGTAATTTTAATTAAATCAGAATTTTGGAAATATAATCGGGAGAGGTGATCGAGGAAGGAGCAAACAAACAAATTTAATTGAGGTAAGTTCTATCTGTCTTTTAATTTATAATATATATTAATATCTAAAATAATGTGTAATTGAGAAATACTTTAGACTTTTGTTTAGTAGCAATAATGAAGTTGATAAAATATATATTTTGCATTTTTACACACGAAATAGAAATCATCAAGGATTAAGTGACTACAAGAATCATAAAAAAAAAGTTGTGTTTTTATTTCTAAATTATGATAATAATGTTGTATTTCTTATAAATCACTCGCATTTAAATGTCATTAGTCAAGATATCTTATTTCTGCAACTAGAATATGATTATTTTGTCTTATTATTCAATTTAATCATGTAGAAATGAATGTGAATGATTTGTATAGTTATACTTATTTATTACACATGCATGTTATAAAAGAAAGTTATTTGATGATATTTAGAATGTAAATGAAATGATTTATAGTAGGCTTGCATGTGCATGCTTGACTATGATGGAGTCACCCTTTTATGGTACTAGCGAGAGAATACTGAGGTACCCGTGCACGTAAATGAAAAAGTATATTGATATTAATGTGTCTTAATTTACATAATTTTAGACGGCGTTCCTGTGGCATATGTATACAAATTATAAAGTTATTGATATCTAAATGATATTGAAAGACATACTT